ATCCTAATACCTAATAATTTAATTAAATAAGACAGAATTAAAATTTTATTTTGAAAAAATAATTTATTAATATTTATTTGATGTATCAATCTTTTTGCACCGGCCCATATTTAATATGACTAGATGAAAAAAAATAAAATTTATATGCTTAATAACTTGAATTTAAAACCCATCATTTGATTGACTAGAAACTAAGAAATCGAATTTTGGACTTTACACTCGATTCCTGTCACTGGTTCTTGAGATATTGAGCTCAAAAAGAGGAATTAGGATTTAATTTTAATGAAAAATGTTGCGTATGGCTTTTTGGGGCTCAATCACTCAAGATCCAGTTTGTTATAAGACCTCAATACCTCAAGGTCCAATGGCGGAAGTTGAGTGTAAGGCTCATATTCGATTAACCGGAACCTAGGGAATCGAATAGTAGGCTCCAAAGATATTAAAATAAACCAAAGGTCCACATACGCCACTTTGGAGCACAATAACTCGAACCCAATAGCGGGGAATTGAGTGTAAAGCTTATCACTCGATTCCTGGTACAGACGAATCGAAAGGTGGTCTTATTCTCAATTTCCCGTCACTCGGTCTTGAGATATTGCCAAAGAAGTGTATATTTATAGCTAGCATATTGACGTGGGTGGTTTTATTTAATTATCACGATTTGCTCTGTCATATTATATATATTCAGTCTCTCGACATAAAAATTTTCATTTATTTTTATTATTTATTTTTTTCTTATTACATTCTTTTATTTTATATTTTATAAAGTTAGTGTTTTCTAATATTTTGTTTTTCAAAGTTTTGTAACTTATATATTTCATTATTAATAATTCCAACGTAATGCTTCTATATAAATTGTGTAGAAAAATTCACGAAATCTTAAAAACGTTATAATCAGATTATTTTGAACAAATTTTAATTACTTAATGAGCTAGCATTTGTTTCGACAGGACAAACAAAATGATATGAAATATTCAAACTCAACTACTAAACATTGAGATATCACTGTACAAATTTAGTTCTCAAAAATCAATTCATGAGTGTTAGAACGCGATTATGAATGACAATATTTTGATATGCTTTGAATAATAGAAAAGCATGTATTATAATAAAGTTCTACAGAACTTTAGCTTGCAGATTGTTTAATTTCTATGCGGAATTTGCAGATTTCCAACAGGTTTAATGTTCTGCACAGAATTGTTTATTTAACAATGTATATGCTATAATTAGATCCCATAAAAATGAAATCAATATATGCACATTACAATTTTTATAATTATGCTTTTGTATTATCCGTGCCATCGAGACATCTCATGGAAAAGCAGCTTCCACACAAGTAACGAAACATCTCATGGAAAAGCAACTTTCCACACAAGCAACGAAACATCTCATGGAAAAGGTGCTTTCCAAGCGGATGCTGGCGCGATGATGTTACAGTATCAAATGCATGTAAATGGTTCCCAGGTCAATAAAGCCTCAGAAACCTGATGACAAATCGTATAAAAATTCTTTTTATCTTTGAAATCATACGGCAGATGTATGCTTTATGACTTGTATTTATCTCGGAATATGTAAGTCCCTAATTATCTAAGGCTTATTTGGTTTTCCTTGTGTATATAATAGGCATGGAATGAATGTTCTAGATTTTAATGTAACGAAAATAAGGATAATGTAGAAATTCGGTAAATATAAAGTATTGTGGAAAGTATAGAAAAAAAGCTCTTGCACAACACCTGCCTTTAAACTAACTACGTAATTCCAAAATTGCATCAAACCATATTTGGTTTCTTTCATCTTTTTTTCTTAAAATGGCATTTCCTCATTGTGTTTTACGCCTTTTTGCTAAGAAAGTATAGCATTGTATTACAGTGCCGTTAGACGATGATTATATTTTTGGTTCTGGGACACATGATATTGCTATATTTAGACACAGTTATATTTTGTGCGTGCTCAAACCATCAAAGATGAATTTCATTCGTGGAACTTTTGTAAGACTTACAAAAAACTTTATATTTTAAAATGTACTTATGTAGTTGGATGTCATGTAACATCTCGCAAAAATGAAATTAAAAATGAAATTACGAAAGAAAATTCTGCAAAATACAGTATTATTTTGTCCTGATCACCATAAAATAAATAGGGGTATGTACAAATTTGCTTAGAACCCAATTGTTGAAGGCTTGTTGCAAGCTTTAATGAAATTTTTCCGAGATCAGTATCGTTATCGATATATTTGATTCATGCAAGTTGTTTTTTTCTTATTTTTCTTTCGTCAACTAAAGTGTGTGTTAGATGATAAATAGCCTAATTTGGTTTTTGTACGCGGTTAAACCACCAAAATACATGTAGATTAATGCTTAACCGGTTAGCGCATGCCGTTACAATATTAATGCATAATTTGCCATATCTGATTAAGGAAATTATATTTTCTTGCGCCTGCATTCTTTATACATGTAAAATGATTTGTTTATACATGCAAGAAGTCCTCAGTTTTTTGTGCATTAAACTCGAGCAAACAAAGCAACATTCGTTCTAAAAATTGTTATATAAATAGCAGCTTGTCGAGAATACAGCTAATAAAGTTCAAGGGAATTCGATACGTACAATTATAATAACGATAACGATATACGACCAAAAAAATGAAATCGCAATTCTTCTTAGCACTTTTGGCTCTTTTTGCATTTATTACGATCTCGACTTCGGTTCCAGTTCCTTCAAATCCTCCCCCAAAGAGTGGAACCATCCAAGTCACTGCACCCACCAAAGGACCATGGGCAAGATACTCTTATCAATCCGTAAGCTGGAACGCTAATGTTGCAGTACCAAATCAATGGCAACAAACCGTTCACGTATATATCTATCAAGTCGTTAGTGGGGCAGCTGATAAGTTAATTGAACAGCTTCCGGATAAATCATATGGAAATACTTGGGATGGATTCCAAATCACTGACAAATATCCGCTCGATGGCAAATTTTATGCTCTTGTTGTGTTAGCATCGGATGCTACTGTTTACGGCACTTCGGATGTATTCACCATTTTTAGTACTGGTGAAAAACCACCTGCTACAACAACTACTTCAGCTTCAGCCACCACTTCATCAGCTTCAGCCACCACTTCATCAGCTTCAAATACCACTTCATCGGTTCCAACTACCACTTCATCAGCTTCAAATACCACTTCATCGGTTCCAACTACCACTTCATCGGCTCCAACTACCACTTCATCGGCTTCAACTGCCACTTCATCAGCTTCAACTCCGACTGGCGTACCCCCAAATCCTGCTCCAAAGAGCGGCCAAATCCAGGTCACTGCACCAACAAAAGGACCATGGGCAATAGGTTCTTATCAATCCGTAAGCTGGAACGCAAATGTCGCAGTACCAAATCAATGGCAACAAACCGTTCACGTATATATCTACCAAGTCGTTAGCGCTGCACCCGATAAGTTGATTGCAACGCTTCCGGATGAACCATATGGAAATACTTGGGATGGGTTCCAAATCACTAATCAATATACTAAAGATGGCAAGTACTACGCACTTGTCGTGTTAGCATCGAACCCAAGCATTTACGGCACTTCGGATATATTTACTGTTGTATAGAATCATAATAGATGAATAATGAAGTCTGTAATTCTTAAATTTACTTTTAACGAGGTCAATAAATAAATCTCAATGAAACTAAATAATAAAGTTTTTAATTCCTAAATAAATTTATTTCAACGAGGGCAAAACAAGAATTGCTGAACGAAGAAAATTCTTTAATTAAAACTCTTTATAATGTTCTTATTATCGTTTTATTTGATTTTCACTATCCCATCAGTTAAAAGTTAAAGCTGACGAGATGAATTTCTGCAATGGAAATATGCTTTTTTGACTATAACGATAATACTTTATGCATATTGATATCGATGCGAGGTTTAGAGATTATCGTTACATGTACATGTACATGTACTCGAGTCTCCAAAAATGGGAAATTATCGTTATTGCATAATGAGATACTACATGTGCAAGTAGATGGATTTGGCTTAAACACGTATCAATACAAATCGAGTTTTTTCTAAAAAAACTCGACCATCGTTGCAGTATACGTAATTTATTTTATTTCACATATATAATTAAAGCGCGCAAGCTGAAGCTCATATCAGATACTAAGCAAAGTTAAATTCAAATTTGAAAAACTTTTATCATAATTTTGATTTTTAAAAATTTTCCACTATTCAATAGCAGATAATGGAAGTGCTGAATTTATTTTTATTAAATAATAGGCTACGTGAGATTTGGCTATAATGAATGTTGCTGCCCTCTATCATATTGACCAATAAATGAATATTTGTCACAAATTATTTCGAATATGGTGCCGGGACATCTTAACTCGCCAATCACATGATTTTGTTTCAATTTCGTGCATGCAATGTAAACTTGCATAATTCATAAACCAACCAATAACTTTGCATGTATTATATAATCACGTGATAATAATGAACAGTATTATTATAATTATAATGTGATGTCATATTTATTTTACATTAATCATATTCTTATTATTGATATATAGATCATTAATTATTTATTTAATAATTTTTTTATTTACTTCATTTATATTTTATACTTCATTTATCTTTATTTATTTATTTTTCTTTATCTATTTCTATTAATTACTTAATATTTTATGAAATTTACTGATATAACTTAAACTTATTAACAGTCTATTTAGCAGTCTGATCTTTCAATCCTTTGTCATATATATTTATGTATCTCCATAAATTGCAGATAAATTTGTAAATAATAGTTATAAATATATTATTAAGAACTTTTAAAATTCAGTTTATTAAATTAATATAGTTATAATTATATAATTTTCAAGTTTTTTACTTTACAAAACTTTAATATTACTTTATAAAATTATACTTACAATAGAACTTTGAATATTACTTAAAAATATATCTTATTCTAATAATTATTTTCTTTAATAATAATTATTATTCAAGAAAATCAGATTATAATAATATAATTCTTTATATATTATAGTTTAATCTTTTCAAATTAATATCAGTATATTTTTTATATATTAAATAAATTTTCTTTATAAATCAAAGTTTCTATTTTATAAGTAATGGTATAATTATAGTCTATATAGACTATAATTATACCACTTAATTTGGATTATAATCATTCCTATTGACGATTGGATCACATGTGTATCGTTATTTGAGTGATGATTAGTTCATGAGTTCATCGTCACACTTAGGTACTCATAATCTATTAAAAAATATGATGATGAGTTTGTATTCACGTCGTCACACTTGGATACCCCATGACCTATAAAAATATGACAATCGTCATAATTTTTTATCATCACCTGCAATGATTACATTTCTTTTATTACACAAGCCAGGCACATAGTACTAGTGGAGACTTTATTTATGATTAGCCCTAGTAGTAAGATCTATCCATCTATCTTGATCTATTGAAATATATTGATATTTTTGTCACAAGTTGTCACTAGTTATTTATAAGTACTTGTGACAGAACTTGTAATGCCTGTTTGAAAGTTTTGAGCCTTTTCATTTCTCTCTTGATTACTTCTTTATATCTGTCACAAGTTACTTAAGTAAAATGGTAGAATTCTAAAAGAAAAAAAACTCTTTCCCATGGTATACCTTTGATATATACCTATCACATATATCCAGCATACATACATATACCCAATATATATGTATATATATAATATATTTGATACCTATGATACATATACTTACCTATGGTACATATACATATATACCTGCCCTTAATATATATATGATACACCTATAGAAAAAAAGTAAAAAGCTACGGTTAAAAAAATTTTTCTAAGAAACTTGTGACAGCTGTGATAGTTATTGAGAACAGTTTTTTTTAAACTCAGACTTCCAAGAACCTATCTTTCTATCAATTTTTTTACCTAAGACAAACTTGTGACAACTTGTAACAGTTATTGAGAACAGTTTTTTTTAAACTCAGACTTTCAAGAACCAATTTTTTTACTTAAGATGAACTCGTGACAACTTGTGTTAGTTATTACTATGTATTTTTTCTGTCCTAATTCTCATCCTAAAAAAAAACTTGGACGTAACCTCTAATCGATAAACTTGCTATCCTAAAAATTAAGCCTAATATAATTTTATGTTCTAGAATTCTTTCTTGTATAGCCATGCTGTTCCAACATATGTTACTAAATATATAATCAATATGTAACCCAGCTAACCCAAAATATATAATTGAAATACAACCTTGTTATCCCAAATCATATAACCAAAATGTAATCTTGCCAAAAATATACCATTGAGCACATACCCGAAAATATATCATTGAAAGGGTATTCTTCTGCCATTTTTCTTATAATATATTACCACACTTGAATATCCTTATTGACATATCTCAAACACATACCCGAAAATATATCATTGAAAGGGTATTCTTCTGTCATTTTTCTTATAATATATTATCGCACTTAAATATCTTGAACATATATCATCACATCAAAATAGGTATATAACTTCCATAATTCTTATAATATATTACCGAACTTATATACCAAAGTATTCACTAATCGAGATTGCAATTCTTTTCATTTATCTCACTAAAACTTGATGCATTTTTTTGTCACTAAAAATTTTTAGAGACAATACTATTTTTAGAGACAACTTTGGTGACGGGTTTATTATTAAATTTCGGTTTCAAATTCTTTTTTATCTTGTTCTTCTATATTGTCACTGAAAACTCTGAAAATAAAGTAAAATTCTAGAAAAAAAAAATAAAACTTTTTCTTATGGTATACCTTTGATATATACCCGATATATACTCGATATATATTATATATATGTAATATACCCATATATAAAAAAAAAGAAAAAAAACTGGAGAAATTCAATCTTTTTTAGAGTTTTCAGTGACAGACATTTAGAAAGCTTTCTAAAAGTTTAAAAATGCAGAATTTGATAGAGATCTCGACTTCGAAAATTTTCTGTCACTAAAAATTTTTGGTGATACTTGGCCATATTAAGATATCGCATATATACTTACTATGTATTTTTTATAACCCTTTAGGAAAACACATACCTGAAAATATATCATTGAAAGGGTATTCTTCTGTCATTTTTCTTATAATATATTACCACACTTAAATACCTCGAACATATATTATCGCATCGAAATAGGTATATAATTTCTATAATTCTTATAATATATTATCAAACTTATATACCCAAAGTATTCACTAATCGAGATCGCAATTCTCTTCATTTATCTCACTAAAACTTGATGCATTTTTTTGTCACTAAAAATTTTTAGAGACAATACTATTTTTAGAGACAACTTTGGTGACGGGTTTATTATTAAATTTCGGTTTCAAATTCTTTTTTATCTTGTTCTTCTATATTGTCACTGAAAACTCTGAAAATAAAGTAAAATTCTAGAAAAAAAAAATAAAACTTTTTCTTATGGTATACCTTTGATATATACCCGATATATACTCGATATATATTATATATATGTAATATACCCATATATAAAAAAAAAGAAAAAAAGCTGGAGAAATTCGATCTTTTTTAGAGTTTTCAGTGACAGACATTTAGAAAGCTTTCTAAAAGTTTAAAAATACGGAATTTGATAGAGATTTCGACTCCAAAAATTTTCTGTCACTAAAAATTTTTGGTGACACTTGGTCATATTAAGATATCACATATATACTTACTATGTATTTTTTATGATCCTTTAGGGGGGACAGAGTCTCAGATCTTTGATCCATCACCCAGGCCTGCAGAGTAATGGTTCTTCGAACCTATAATACTATTTTGTACCATCTTCTCCAGCTTTTTCTGCTGATATCGATCCCGCCTTCAATATTTATCTGCATGAGTATCACAATAATTGTAATTAGAATAAATCAACTTACCACATTCTTTACAAAATACGCATGGTGGAGAATTCCAGTGAACTTTGCACCCTTCAGGCCTATAGCAACCTTGATTGCAAACTTTTCCAGTCTTAAGAATATAGAAGCAATGATAAAATGCCATATTTATATAATTTCGATATAATGGTTATTATCTACTGATAACTATTCTTTAGAATTAATTTTCATTTTGAACTTTTTTTTCCAGAACAATATACTAGCAGTAAAATATACTTACCATGGATACCCAAAATTTTCAAGAAAATATCGATCACGTGTCAGCAGAAGTGGGAGTATCACCTCGACCAGATAGCCCAGAAAACTTGAAGAATTTCGAGCTAGAGATAGAGATAGAGGAAGGCTCTTCAAGCTATTACTCCGCAATAGAAAATAGTGGGGTATTATATCATTAGGGGTTTAAAGCCAAGAGTGTAGCTGAATATCTATACAAGATCTGGAATGATAACGTGAGACCTAGAGAATTTCTCAGAACAGATTCCGAAGATGGAATAGAAGCCATACTTACAGATCATCAGGGCTATTCGTTGCATGAATTTATTGATGGAGATGAACCACTTCATCCTATTATTGATTTTGATTTACCAAGAGAAAAATTTGATAATATCAAACCCAAGCTTACACCTAAAGAGATAAAAAATACACTTTA